GTGTGTGTGTGTGTGTGTGTGTGTGTGTGTGTGTGTGTGTGTGTGTGTGTGTGTGTTTAGTAGAAATGCAACACCATGAATGACACAGTGAGGTAAAAGGAAGGTTAATGGCTTGGATAATACTGAAACCAAGCTGAGACAACAATCTAAATTTTCCCTGCTATACATTTAGAGGAAGGGAATTTACAAGCTAGAAAAGTGTGCATGACTGCTACCCATTAACAGATCAGAGTGGGAACACTTCCATCAAGGCTGATGGGAGCCGGCACTGGTGAGGACATGGAGAACTGGGCACTCCCATATGCTCTGGATGGAAGATGATTTGGGGAAAGCTTCTTTGAGGACAACTTGAAAATCTTTTTAAAAAACACATGGTTTTCGACGCTGTAATTTCATTACTAGGAACTTTTACTAAAGACAAACTTGAAAAACTATACCTAAACTATACCATCTTATAAAGATACTCATTATATCATATAAAATAAAAAACAATTTGCATGACCATTAATAGGGGAGCATGTGAATAAATTATGGTAAATTCATGCTATATATCATATAGAAAATTTTTTAAATGAGGCAGAACTACATTACGATATAAAAGGATTTCTAAGATATTATATTATGAAGACAAAGTAATATTTATACTCTTCTATGCATTATAGTATAGAGATACTTAGAGTACATAAAAAGGACATATTAAAAAGGATATACCCACACAACCACAAAAGGAAAATAAGCACATTACACACATATGCCAGTATATACATACATTTTTTTCTGAAAATATAATAAGCAGTTATCTAAATGCTAGGATGGTAAATCATTTTATTTTTAATTTATATTTTTATATTTAAAAGGTCTAATAAATATGACAAAATATTTCATTCTAGGCAACCCTGATATATCTAATATATATTGTCTCCATACATTGAGAAGTAAATAAGCCGTAGAGATCTAGTGCACGGTAAAGTGAACATAGACAACACTATTATAAGCATCAAACTTACTAAGAGGCTAGAACTTAATGATTCCAATCACTAAAAAACAAAGGGTCATGATGTAACATGATAGAGGTGCTAATTATTGTTATAGTGGCAATTGTATTACAATATATAAATATATCAAATTCACGTGTTGTACACCTTCAATTTGCACAGTGTTATATGTCAAATATATTTGAATAAAACAGGAAAAAATACACGTTGTCTGATTAGGAAAGGAACTACCACAGATGAGTTCGCTTCTAATCTATATAAATTAAATTATCTAGACCAGTAGTTTTTGTCAAATGTTCACATTTTCCTAATTGTTCTATATATGTTCCTTAAAAAAAAACCTGTAGAATATTTGGGTCCTGTACATGGTTTCAAAGTAAGGTCTATACCCTGTCCTTGGTTTATGTGCCTTCAAAATCTTTTTTATTTTATACCTTCCCTAACTCTTCTTTTATGCCTAGTATAT